CATTAACTTATTATTATAAATAATTTTATGCTCATAACTACTATTATAATATTTGTTATTATTAGTATTATTTTTTTAATACTATTGATATCATAATATTGTTTGTTGGAAAGAGTCAACCAATCATTTCAAATTGTTGGCAAGAGTCAACCAATCATTGAAAATCTTTCACAATAATTAATTTCTTTGCTTATGATTTAAATTTTTTTTTCCCTTCTTTAAAATAAGAAATTGCTAAACCTATTGATGGATTTTTGGGAAGGTTATTTATATTATTATTATATTATTACTCTTTACTAGAAATAGATTGTCTTTAAAAAATTTTTGTTGTTCCATTCACTGTGAAACCTAAGAATTACTGTATAGTTAATGATTAAAGTTTATCTTAATGAAGTCTTTAATGCCATTTTTTATTTAAACCAACTTTTCATTATGTTTTTATCAATAAATTTTATTTCCTAATAACTCTTTTCTTATGTTTTGATAACATTTTTTGGTTTTAAATTTCACTAAGTTCTTTGGATACAAAAAAAAAGTTAAAGAAGCACAAGAAGAAGGTGTTCATGATTGTAATGATAAAAAATGGTCTTTGTTTCCTTTTTTGCAATGTCAAGTTTTTCCAGCCAAAAAAAAGTAGAATGTTTATATACAGGTTTACAGTATTTAAATTATTACAGTATTAAAACTTTACTCAGCCATACATTTAACTTTGTATAATCTTCAAAAATAATTTTTTTTTAATTATGATTTTTTTTAAATCATCTTGCCAATCAAAAGTTGTTTTGTTTTTTTAAATCATCTTGCCAATCAAAAGTTGTTTTGTTTTTTCATTATCATCCAATCTCTGTAGATGTCCTAGTCTTTTCTTTTTGTGGCCATAAATAAATTTTCTTATCATACTGCAGGTACTTTTATTGAATTACTACTTCTGTGTTGAAGCTGGTGATAAAAGTCTTTTATCACCAGCTTAAACACGGTTATTTTAAATATCATCAAAAACACCAGAAAATCAGTTAATAAAGACGAACTAATTAATAATCAGTATAAGACGAAAGAGATATATATATGTTTTTGTCTTTGAACTTATTCTTTGTTGTGACAAACTTATTCTGTGTTACGACGAATTCATTGTAACACAAGGAGAAATCAAAAAGAGTATTTTTCTGTTATTGCTGATAAAGTCTCAAATGGTTTTTATAATCAAGGATTATTTATCACTTAATTGAAAAGTATTATATAAATAGTAAAAAGTATTATAAGTTATACTAGTTAAAATATTTCAGTAACTTTTGCAGGGGTGGCTTACTAAATTCACTTGCTTTATTTGGTGAGGTTGACCTATAGAAAGCTTGCAGAATAAATTCTCTTAACTCCATTATTGCTGATGTGGGCTGTTTTATCAGCCAAACTTTTGTGGCATTTTGTATTACCATTTTTGCATAGAAAATCAAATCATAATTCTAGCAATTTGAACCTTAACAATATATCTCCAAATAATGTAGTTTAAACTTTAGCATTAACTGTGATATATTTGATATAAGCATTTGTTACACTTTTATTTTAGTAATAAGATAAAAATTAGAATCCACTGCTAAGCAAAACACTTTTTTTAGTTTTTTTAATCTTGCTGCACTTTTAAAAACTTAGCAAAACAGTTTAAGCAAAAAATACTTAAAATTGTTTAAAAAAAATTTATTTTATATTGTACATTTATTATTTACAATCATCCCATATGCAACTAACTCAACTTAACTGACTTACAGACGATTGTATGTAATACAATTTAAGTTTTTGCATGTAAATGTAAATGACATAATGTTATAAATTTACATAAGTTGCATATTTACATAAATTTCTTATATTTCCTTATAAAAAAGTGCTAAGAGACTCTTTCTTGCTATTAACTTGGGTTTGATGGCTGCCAGGAGTTTTGTGTAAACATGCACAAATGAGCATTATTAAGTTACTTTATATATAATATGATATAGGATATAAGTTTATATATTAATATTCAACAATATAAAAATATTAACTTTATTTCAAAAATGTGATTTTTTTAATTGCGGTTCTTAATCTATAATTTTTTTTATTAGTTAGGTTTTAAATGCAAAGAAGACATTTTCATTGTTTAAAGCAATATATTAAACAAATATTTATATAGCCATGTGCTAAAAGATAAATTGCATGATGCTAAGAATAGTAAGTGACCAGGGCCCTGGCTAAAAATGAAACTTTTTGCAAACCTGGCCCCGGTCCCAGCAACATAAGATTTAGCAGGGGTTGATAGCTGGGGCTAGAAAAAAAAGGCATAATACCTAATATATTATAACTTTATGCTTACATTTACATTTTAAACATTTTTAGACTCTATTTTATTTCCAACAAGATTGCAAGCAACCGCACTTAAGTTAAGAGAATTTATGAATTACTATAAAATAGAGAATAAGTTAAAATTCTAGGAAATGTATAACTGAAGACTTAAAAAGTTATAAGTTGTGTAAAAAAGAAAAATATGAAGATGGGTAAGAGTTATAAGGTTTTTTTTGATGTTCAAGGAAAAAAAGTGGAATAATAAAAGTTTTTTTAGCATGAAAGGTTCAATACAGTAAAAGGATGCAAATTGTTGCATAAGTAGCCAAGTAAGAATGAGTTTTGAAGCTTTGGCCATGATTGTATTTGTAGAAAAAAGAAAGAAATGCAACCTTACAACAATAAGAGAGTGGCTCAAGCTTGGCAGATAAAGCAGGTCTAATTACATTTACAATGTGCTTTTAGACTTTGTCTGAGAGTAAGAGGGTTGTTACTTGTAGTATCCACAATATAAGAATGCCAACAATATTGCAATATTTTTTTGCAGTAAATAAATGAGTTTTGATGTCTAATAAAAATTGTGGATTTTAAGTCCAAAATTTAAGTCCATAAGCCATTGCAAGCATTAGGCAGTTACAGAAGAAAGATCAGATTTATAATCAGCTGCTTGTTCTTAGCAATTCAAAAGTGAAGATTTTTTTCAAGACAAGAGTATAAAGTTGAGTCGCCAGCAAATAGAGTCACTTTAGATTTCATGAAGATTGTTATTGTAGATAAGAAGCAAAGATAGAATTTTATGGTACCATTAAAACTATTTGAAATAAAGATGAGGGTAAGTTAGTAAGCAATAATTTAATAACCTCAAAACATTTATATAAAGAAACTGATAACGGAGTGAAGACTAATTGGTAGAAAGTTGGAGAGGTCAAAGGGTTTTCTAGAGTTTTGAAAAATTGGAACCACTTATTTAGCACTTTTTAAAAGTTTAGCAAAAATTAAAGAGAGTGGAGAACACTTTTGTCTGGAGCACTAACTGTAGAAGTGTTTAATTGAGAGGTCAAAGGGTTTTCTAGAGTTTTGAAAAATTGGAACCACTTATTTAGCACTTTTTAAAAGTTTAGCAAAAATTAAAGAGAGTGGAGATCACTTTTGTCTGGAACACTAACTGTAGAAGTGTTTAATTGAGAATTAACTTTAGCATCGGAAGCCAGAGTGATTTCCATGTTTAACAATGGGTTAATCTGTTTAACTGTCAGGAAGAGTATGGCCATTATATTGAAGAGTCAAATTAGAGTAAGATTTCTTTGCAAATAACTCTACTTTATTCTGGGGAGAAGTAAAAAGACACATGAATTATAGATTAAATGTTAGACTTACTTTAGTTAATGACACTGTTGAAGACTAAACATAAGTCTCTAGACTACTAACTCTAACTACTCAAGATGGTGAAAAATGAAAAATGAGGCTTGACTTATAATTGAATAGAATTAATAAAAGCTTTGAAACCTTTATTCCATAAGGAATAAAAGCTTCCATGATGCACTTTATGCATACATATTATTGATGCAAACATTTATGTTTGCTATTTGTTTAGATGCTGAATATAAACTTTAGTATTTATATGGTGTAGTATTTGCCAAAAGAGAAGATGGTCAGATGGATGTGTGGTGTGATTCTAGCATAACAATAAAAAGAGGCATATTCTTAGACAGATTAGAAAAAACAGATTAAATCTTAGACAGATTAGAAAATCATCATCACCAGGCTTTATCCTTCTTCTTTTATGCTGTTGATGATGAGAATGATGATGATGATGGTGATGATGATGATGATGATGATCATGATGATGATCATGATGATCATGATCATGATGATCATGATGATCATGTTGATCATAATGATGTTTATATATGCATATATAAACAAAATATAATATGATTTTTGAATTAAAAAAATATACTTTAAATTGTATAAATATTTATGCAGCCCCGGTCACAAACCTGGCCCTGGCTATATTTTATCAAACTCAGCCTCGGTCAAATATCAACCCCAGTCACTTACTAGCTAAGAGATAAATTGCATGCCACTATGATTCTTAGTACAAAATTATTTTATGTAGCCCAAGTTTTAATGGGATTGACATTAGCACAAAAAAATATTATGACAACAAAACAGTATACTGTTCTGAGGCTAGTTAGACCACATGCCCATGCATTTATGGTACAATTGAGAAAAAAAAGTGAAATCTATTTAGAGTGAAACATTAAAAACCTACAAATCTCCTTTTTTTTAATATTTTAGCATTTGATATAGTTGGGCAGTTGAACCCTTAAATATTATTTGATCTCTTTCATAGAGTATTAACCATGCTCTTTTTTACTCTAATATAGAGTATTAATAATAATACTACCATAATCTAAATTCATTATTTATTGAGTTTCACTATTAATTAATGAAGTTACAGCATTAAAAGCAAGAAGACAAAATAATATATAAAATGTTGGCAAAATAATATATATCGATAATTTTTGCAATCCCATTATAACTCCAGAGGAGTGTGAAATGTTATTTTAAGAAGTATCATACATACCCAAAAAAATCTTTTGTAACTGCCCCTAATATATGTGTATAATTACAAAATCATTATATTTTATTCTTGTGTTTGTAAATGATATATTGTTGCATTTTAGATGTTTTTCAGAGATTGGAAAGGTTGGAGGAGAGCAAAAAATTAGTGTTGGGACTGAATGTAGATGGAAAGGTTAAATGTTTTAATACTGTTTAGTCTTTTGTTTAGTTAAACTTTTATATTTTTAAAAATTTCTTAATATTATTTGTTCTTTGTTAATTATTTTTTTATGTATATAGGTACTGTGTCTCATTTGATTATGCATTCACTAGGGTTTCTTCATGAAACCTCACGCATCGATCGAAATAAAGCCATTACTGTTCTGGAAAACAATATGGATTCTAGTATAAAATTTTTTTTTGTGTGTTGTAATGTAATGGAATATAAAACTGAGTTTTAAAAAATAACAATTTATAATAAATTAATTTTAAATTAATTCTATATTGCTGAAATTTCAAATAATCACAAACTCAAAACTAAGTATATTAAGTAGATGAAAGAGGTTTAAACTATTTTTCATATTGCCGAAAGCTTACCTTATTAAACTTATATGAAAAATGATATCCTAATGTTTATGTTCCATTATAAAGATTATGAGAAATAGAAGTTTAAATTACATTGTTGTATTTATTTAGAAAATTGAAAAAAAAAAAAAAGTAACAAATTTAGTCTCTAATCTCAACAATCTCAACAACTATCTCAATATAGATTCCATGGAACTTTAACAAATATCCCTTATCAACAAGTTATCAAGTCTCAATAAAATATCTAAATAATTGAAAATCAAATTTTGAAACTGAATTAATGGAATAATCTATTAATAATATAATAATGGAATAATTTCTAATAATATAGTGGAGTAAAGTAAGATAGTAGGTTTTGTTTCTAACAACTGTTTCAATAACTTTGTGTGATCATGTGGTACAGACATACTAGTTTTTATTTTCTTTTTTGATAATTTTACTTGATTTCATAAAACAATAAAATTTCATTAACCTGTTTAATTTACACCATGACTAAAATGCACTTCTTACGCTTCATTATATATTGAACATCTTGTTATACTTGATTGCCATTAAATTACTTGATGAATTTTTTCTTGTCCAGTAACTTTCCTGTCACACTATATTTTTTTCAGCAATCTATATCTAATGCCATCTAAACCCATGGATGCTTTCCTTTCAGTAATCATGCTGATTAGAAATTCTTTGTTCTCTGATTTAAGCATTTTAACTAGCATGCTGTGTGGCTTGGCCTTCTTTTTTTTGCTTGTTTTTATTCCATCAATTTTTTGAGTATTTTTATCAGTGTTTCTGTGAGCATAGTTTAAAGTCCATAAATTTCTGCAAAGTTTTCATCTTGTCAAATAATCTCATGACTTCTGCCATGATGTTATCTTGTCAAATAATCTACCATGATGTTATCTTGTCAAATAATCTCATGACTTCTGCCATGATGTTATCTTGTCAAATAATGTCTGCTTTTTTTTACCATGGATGTTTAGTCTAATTATTTTTTGAAATTCATTTATTCTTTAATAATCAAACTTTATATTTTTTAAAGAGTAAAAGCACTTGTTTCTGTTTGTTGCGCTATAGAAACTTTTTGTTATATATTAACAAGTTAGCAGTAAATTTATTTATCATACATAATAAACATAATATTCGTGTATATACATAATTATGTATATACATAAAGTTAGCAGTAATTTTTTAGCAGTAAATAACAAGCACAAAAAATTATTGATTTAAGTACAAGTAGAATAGTAATTTAATATAACTAATTATAAGTAACTAATTATAAGTAACTAATCATAAGTAACTAATCATAAGTAACTAATCATAAGTAACTAATTATAAGTAACTAATCATAAGTAACTAATCATAAGTAACTAATTATAAGTAACTAATCATAAGTAACTAATTATAAGTAACTAATCATAAGTAACTAATTATAAGTAACTAATTATAAGTAACTAATCATAAGTAACTAATTATAAGTAACTAATCATAAGTAACTAATCATAAGTAACTAATCATAAGTAACTAATCATAAGTAACTAATTATAAGTAACTAATTATAAGTAACTAATTATAAGTAACTAATCATAAGTAACTAATCATAAGTAACTAATCATAAGTAACTAATTATAAGTAACTAATCATAAGTAACTAATTATAAGTAACTAATTATAAGTAACTAATTATAAGTAACTAATCATAAGTAACTAATTATAAGTAACTAATTATAAGTAACTAATCATAAGTAACTAATTATAAGTAACTAATCATAAGTAACTAATCATAAGTAACTAATCAAAAGTAACTAATCATAAGTAACTAATTATAAGTAACTAATTATAAGTAACTAATCATAAGTAACTAATCATAAGTAACTAATCATAAGTAACTAATCATAAGTAACTAATTATAAGTAACTAATCATAAGTAACTAATTATAAGTAACTAATCATAAGTAACTAATCATAAGTAACTAACCATAAGTAACTAATCATAAGTAACTAATTATAAGTAACTAATTATAAGTAACTAATTATAAGTAACTAATCATAAGTAACTAATCATAAGTAACTAATTATAAGTAACTAATTATAAGTAACTAATCATAAGTAACTAATCATAAGTAACTAATCATAAGTAACTAATTATAAGTAACTAATTATAAGTAACTAATCATAAGTAACTAATCATAAGTAACTAATTATAAGTAACTAATTATAAGTAACTAATTATAAGTAACTAATCATAAGTAACTAATCATAAGTAACTAATCATAAGTAACTAATCATAAGTAACTAATTATAAGTAACTAATTATAAGTAACTAATCATAAGTAACTAATTATAAGTAACTAATCATAAGTAACTAATCATAAGTAACTAATCATAAGTAACTAATTATAAGTAACTAATTATAAGTAACTAATTATAAGTAACTAATCATAAGTAACTAATTATAAGTAACTAATCATAAGTAACTAATTATAAGTAACTAATCATAAGTAACTAATCATAAGTAACTAATTATAAGTAACTAATCATAAGTAACTAATCATAAGTAACTAATCATAAGTAACTAATCATAAGTAACTAATTATAAGTAACTATTTATAAGTAACTAATCATAAGTAACTAATCATAAGTAACTAATTATAAGTAACTAATTATAAGTAACTAATTATAAGTAACTAATCATAAGTAACTAATCATAAGTAACTAATCATAAGTAACTAATCATAAGTAACTAATTATAAGTAACTAATTATAAGTAACTAATCATAAGTAACTAATTATAAGTAACTAATCATAAGTAACTAATCATAAGTAACTAATCATAAGTAACTAATCATAAGTAACTAATTATAAGTAACTAATTATAAGTAACTAATTATAAGTAACTAATCATAAGTAACTAATTATAAGTAACTAATCATAAGTAACTAATTATAAGTAACTAATCATAAGTAACTAATCATAAGTAACTAATTATAAGTAACTAATCATAAGTAACTAATCATAAGTAACTAATCATAAGTAACTAATCATAAGTAACTAATTATAAGTAACTATTTATAAGTAACTAATTATAAGTAACTAATCATAAGTAACTAATCATAAGTAACTAATTATAAGTAACTAATTATAAGTAACTAATCATAAGTAACTAATCATAAGTAACTAATCATAAGTAACTAATTATAAGTAACTAATTATAAGTAACTAATCATAAGTAACTAATCATAAGTAACTAATTATAAGTAACTAATTATAAGTAACTAATTATAAGTAACTAATCATAAGTAACTAATCATAAGTAACTAATCATAAGTAACTAATCATAAGTAACTAATTATAAGTAACTAATTATAAGTAACTAATCATAAGTAACTAATCATAAGTAACTAATTATAAGTAACTAATTATAAGTAACTAATTATAAGTAACTAATAATAAGTAACTAATCATAAGTAACTAATTATAAGTAACTAATCATAAGTAACTAATCATAAGTAACTAATCATAAGTAACTAATTATAAGTAACTAATCATAAGTAACTAATTATAAGTAACTAATTATAAGTAACTAATCATAAGTAACTAATTATAAGTAACTAATCATAAGTAACTAATCATAAGTAACTAATCATAAGTAACTAATCATAAGTAACTAATCATAAGTAACTAATCATAAGTAACTAATCATAAGTAATAATTATAAGTAACTAATCATAAGTAACTAATTATAAGTAACTAATCATAAGTAACTTAGAATAACTAATCATAATTAACTTAGAATAACTTATAAGTAACTTAGAATAACTTATTATAATTAAGATGAGAAATTTGATGTTAATTAAAAATTCATAGACTTTGGTAGTAATAGTCAGAATAAGCGGTTATTAGTTTAAGAATTGAGTGTAATTTTTTATCTCGACAGTAAAAATGATATACATGTTTCGATTACTTTTTTTTTCATTGCATTTTTTTAGAGTTTAGAAGTAATTTCCACACCTATAACGCTGACCAAACTCTGGGTTTACAGTAAGTGTATTAATATTTTTATAATAAATGGACAAACTCTTGAGTGATAATTACAAAAAACTTAAAATATGGTTGTTAGTGAGTACATTTTTTAATTTTTAAAAAAAGTCAGAAATGTCTTTATAGTTTTTCAAAGAAATAACTTTTGATTAAAATAATGTGCAGATTTTTTTAAGATAACATGTTTTACTTGATAAAATTGAAAAAAAACATTGTTAATTTATATGCTTTTTTATTTAGTTACGACTACTTTAGTATTATGCATTATGGGGCTTATGCTTTTTCTAATAATGGTCAACCAACTATAAGATCTTTATTTCCAAATATTGGAGTGGATATGTTAGGTCAGCGTGATGGGTTTAGTGAATTAGATATTAAACGTATTAAAGAAGCATATAAGGTATATGACCATGTTAATCTCTCAATACCAGAATGAGAGCTTTTATATATATATATATATATATATATATATATATATATATATATATATATATATATATATATATATATATATATATATATATATATATATAGTATGTATATATATATGTATATATATATATATATATATATATATATATATATATATATATATATATATATGTGTATATATATATATATATATATATATATATATATATATATATATATATATATATATATATATAAATATATATATATATATATATATATATATATATATATATATATATATATATATATATATATATATATATATATATATATATGTATATATATATATATATATATATATATATATATATATATATATATATATATATATATATATATATATATATATATATATAAAATAACAACAAGATATTTATTTTCCTTAAAATTTACAATCATATAATTACAATAGTTATTAATAATAATAATAACAATAAAAATAATAATAGCAAGAATATCTATGATATTATAAATAGTAAAACCAAAAAATCATTATTAAGAATAAATATAAATAAATGATTGACAAGGAAGGAGTCACTCATGCAGAAGCCTGATCAATGGAGTGATATCAAATAATTATATTAACAATGTTAATTTAAAAAATAATAACAATAACAATAATAACTATATTCATTAATAGAGCAAAAATAATAGTATTTATAATAATTATGATAATGTTAATAACAAAAATAGTAGAATGAAAATAATAAATTATAATGACAAAAACAATAAAGTTTCTATAAAAATAGTAAGAAGAAAAAGAAGAAAACTAAAAGAAGTTAATAATGATAAAAAATTAAAATAATTTTTTTTTAGAATTTGTTTAAATTTATTTTGTTTTAAATAAAGAAATAAAGATAAATTGTTTTTAAGTTTTGATTGAAATATATATATATATATATATATATATATATATATATATATATATATATATATATATATATATATAAATATATATTACGGTGGAGCGATTTTCATAGCAAAAAAAAAAAAAGTTTAAAAATCAATATTCCTGAGACACGAATCGATGTCTATTAATTATAAGATAAAAGTAAAAAAATATTTTTTGATTTTGATGAGATCTTGAGGTTCCTCTTTGGATTCTAAATTCTTGATGGGTCCTAATATTTTTAATTTTTTTTTTTTTTGAAACCATATCAACCTCGGACTTAAAAAAAGCAGAAAAAAATTCTTGTTTTATAAATAATAATTTTATTTAAAAAAAAATTTTTAGTAAAAAAAAATTTGCAAAAATATACCTTAAAACCCCCGTTTTGATGAAGACGGGGGTTTTTTATGAAAAAAACAACACTACTTTTTTATTTTTTAGTTAAGAATTAAAACAAATATTATTTTCAAAATTAGCATATTATTCTGCTTCATATTATTCTGCTTCTTCTACCAAGTTGATATAGTTGATATAGAAAAAAAATTTCAGCAATATTAGGACTCGTCATAAATTTAAAATCAAAAGAGGAACCTCAAGAACTTATCTAAATTAAAAAAAAAAAAAGTAAGGTTCTTTTTTCACCATAAGATATCAATTCGCAGCTCAGGCAAATTAAATTTCGAAAATTTTTAAAATCGCTCCACCCTAATATATATATATATATATATATATATATATATATATATATATATATATATATATATATATATATATATATATATATATATATGCATATATAAATATATTTTATATATATATACATATATAAATATATTTTATTTATATATATAATATATATATATATATATATATATATATATATATATATATATATATATATATATATATATATGGATATATATATATATATATATAGATATATATATATTTATATATATATATATATATATATATATTATATATATATATATATATATATATATATATATATATATATATATATATATATATATATATATAAAGTATAAGTTATATATTTTCATTTTTGCCTGGTGATTTTTATTGAAGTTAAACAGTTATTTTATTTTTTGTTTAACTCTCTACAAGGAAAAACTTGTGTGCCTATTTGAATTTCTTATAATTAAATTTAAAGTTGCATAGTGGAGACTGTGGCTAGTTGTAACAGGGGTAAGTGGCAACAATTCGTTTTAAAGAATGGTTTTTAAATATTATTCCTGGTTTTTTTTTACATTAAAAAATTTCAAAAGTTATTGATAATTTTCTTTTTTCGATATAAAATTCTACTTTTTGATTTCGAAGTTTTTTTAGGTTTCACTGTAAACTTAGAAATTTATGACCTTAATAAAATAATAGTAAAGTAAAAAAATCTTTTTCAAATACAGCGAGAATAAAAAAATAAATACAGCGAGATTAAAAAAATTAGATTTATTTAATGTGAGTTATATAGATTGATTAGAGTGATCATGATGCCTACATGGTAAGTTGCAACAAATTGCTTGGGGTAAGTTAAATCATAAAATAAATGCGAGTTTATATATTATTCAGAGTATTCTGTTGTGTTTAAAAAACATTTTAAAAATCTAATTTTTGATTTGAAATGTAATTCTTTTGTTTCTTTAATACTTGTTTTTTAATGAATGTTTATTGAAAGGAAATTCTTTTTTTGTTGTTATTGATAACTTAGATTTAAATTTGATTTTTATAAAATTTTATTTAACATTTATTTTATTTTTTAACAATTTAATTTTTTTATTTAATAAATTGTTCTTGCGTTTTTATATTCTAAAAACAGAACTTAAATATCCTTAAACCTTTTTTGCATTTTTCTAAGCGACTTAATTGACTTTTTTGTTGCCAAATAGAAATTAAGATTAACTTGTTATATTTCTTTAAACTCTGCAAGGTTTATACTTTTTATATATTGTGTTGCAACTTACCATGTTCACTTTTGCAAATTGCCGCGGTGCGTGGTAAGTTGCAATATTTTTTTTTTTTCATTTTTGCTTCACTATTGCGGAACAACTAAGTTTTATATTATATTTATCAATATTGTTTTAGTACGTCACTAAGACGTACTTTTTTATAACCCTGATAAAAATTTGAAAATAAACAAAAGTTATAGGAGATAAATGCTGTTTTTTAAATTTTGTTGCAACTAGCCCCGGTCGCCCCTATTTTACTGATGACCCAAAAGAACTTAAAACAATTAGAAAATACGATTTAAAAAAATACTTTCCTGCAATAATTGCTTCAAGTCTTTTAATGGCATTAGTTAAACTTTTAAAGACATTAATTGTGGTTGATGTTTTTTATGTCTGTAAAACATACACCATCATTGATTTTCATCAGCATTGAAACAGGGTGGCCACTGGTCATGGAAATCTCGGAAATGTCATGAAATTTCTTTTTGTCATGGAAATGTCATGGAATTTCTAAATTTTCATCGAAAGTCATGGAAAATTTATGGAAATTTTTAAAAATGATCTTTGTCTTTTCTATAATTGATAATTTCAAGATATTTCCAAAGAAAAAATAGTATATAGTAAAATAGTCGAAGACAATATCTTTTTTAAAAAAATATATTGTTGTGTAAGTTATAGTTTGTTGTGTAAAAGATATTCTCTTAACAATTATCATCGGATGAATCCTTGATATTTTTGCTATCTGAAGAAAATAATCCTGTAAATAATCTTCATCGTCACACAGAATTGTATTTCAAACTAGCTATGGTGGTGTTACAGGTGGGACAAATAAATTCAAAACTTGTAACAATTATTCGTTTTCTTACTTGATAATTCTCTGTATGAGCTGATGACAGGATCCGATGTTACCAAAAGCATATTGAGCAAACCTATATATGTAGAAATAAGTGAGTTTTTTTTTGTATGATGCTCATGGAATCAATGAAAATCTTTATTTTGAGCTTCTTGAGACTTAATGTTAAGAGTTTTGGTTTCAGTGCAAAGTTTTTCAAATTCATAATAATTAATATCATAGTTAGAGAAAAGTGTGCGTAATAAAATACTGAAATCTTGAACGAGATTGGTGTCTAAACCGTAATCTCACCACTCAACTCTGGCTTCATAACAAACTGCAAGCTGTGTTTCCATCATTTGTATTTCCTAAGCCAGGTTTTGTTTTGTCTACAGTAAGCCCATATGGTTTTTAAATTTTTGTTTGATATCTTCTGAACAATTTTGGACACTAGATTTATCTTAATCGCTTCTAGCTTGCCACTTTTTTATATCTAAATGATAGCTTTTGTGTACATGTGTAACATGTACTCAAAAAAACGAATCCACACAGGCAAAGTAGACAGACTAAAGCTATAATGTTCTTTTTAACAACATTTCCTTCATCCTTCATCATTTTGGGATTCACACTACATATATAACATTTATGTTAGGGACTTTTGTCTGTCAAGGCATTGCAAATTTTTCCATATATTATTCAGAGTATTCTGTTGTGTTTAACAGCAATTTACGATTTGCTGAATCTTATAGATGTTGGAATAAGTTAAGATACTAATTTTAAAACTTGGTTAGTTTCTGTTTTAGTAAATACATTTGCTTCTTTTGAAAAAATAAACTTATTTGGTTGGCAAAAAAAGTGTGGATAAAAGTTGCATGTTTTGCCAAATAATATTTTGGCCGTCACTCAGTCTCAACAGTACTAATGAAAATACAAACAAAAACTCATCAAGTGCATCAGAGTTTGTAAATCTCTGTTTATAAGTGCTGTGACACTTATAAACAGAGCTCTCATTACATTCCCATTTGCTAGTTAATGTGAATGGCGTAGTAAAAGTATGATTTTTAAAAACTTCACACTGGGCTTTAATTAGGCGTTTAGTAGTTATACTAAATATGGCTTTCAGGTTAATTTTGACACATGTTTCTGTAATAGAAATATATTCATTTAATGGACATTTAAAACATAACTTTTTTGACTTGCATAGACTATAATAAGATGGAAATACTATATGTCCTGCCTTTAAAGACCACTTTTGCATTTATAACTTGTACATTTAGAGTCAATGTAAATATGCTAATAATAAATTAATTAAAATTTATAAATATAATATAAATTAATTAAAATTAATTAAAATATAAATTAATTAAAATTAATTAAATTATAAATATAAATTAATTAAAATTAAATAAAAGTTTATATAACATAAGTTAATTAAAATTTTACATAAAATATAAATTAATTAATATAAATTAATTAAAATTAAATAAAAGTTTCATCATGGTTCAAATGCCTGCCACGACAAATAAAGTCTTATGATTTTATTTTTTCTGATAAAATAATAAATAAAAAAATAAAGTCAATTTATTTTTTTGCACATGATTTGAAAAAATTGCGAAAAAATGTGGATTGATGTGGTGAAATATTTTACATCATTGTACACCTTAGGACTTTAGCTATACAATATTAAAAAATTAGCTGGATACATGTGGATAAAATTAGTATAAGTTGAACAAAAAGTTGCATAGGTTGAAAAATTAATAAGTATCACTTTAGTTCCCTATCCCGAAAATTTACAAATAGTCATGGAAAACATTACAAATAGTCATGGGAGAGTAATGGAAAAGTCATGGAATTTCGTTTACAAATTTGAGTATCCACCCTGTGAAAGTACTTTACTAAAAAAACTCCAGGCAAAAGAGTATGCAAAAAAATTGATGAATATATGTATGCGAAGAGCTGATTGCGATGAAAGAACATGTTGAACGGAAAATAAATTAACTGAAATAAAATGATTATTTAAATTGCTATAGTGTTTCAAAATGCTCACAAGTAGATTCTATCAAAACACTTTGATAGTATCTACTAGCGTATTCAATACTTATTTAATATTGAACATAATTATTTCTTGTTTATCTTATTACGTTTCTGTTTGAACACCAGAATTTCACCATTTCAAATTTTTTTCAAACTATTTCAAATTTTTTTCCCTAAATATAAGCATTTAATTTAAACATATACATACGCAAATAATTGTGGAAACAAATTGTAAAGGCCGTTTTCCACAAGACGAAATATTCGCGCGAAGCGAATTTTTTCGCTATAACGAAACGCTGTTTTGATTTCCACTTACTTTCTTTCGCGCTACTTTTTTTTCGTTGTCAACAATAAAAATGGCAGCAATAAGTTCATGGTGTATGTTTAACTAAAGGCAGTTATTACTTTTTTTAGCATACTTTCTACTTTGAAACATGTTAAAATTTCTTTCCGTGCATTAATAATAACATTTCTGTCTTTATATGTAAGATGTGATATCATTTTGTAATATAATCATTTAATATAAGGTTTTTTTTTACAAGAAAGTATAAGAAAATAAATTCTAAACTCTGATATGATCATTTCTATTAAAAACTGTTACTGGAAAAACGAAAAGCAGGTTTAATTCTATGTAGGTTTTTACACAAAAAGGTTTATCTTCGTGTAACCACTTAAAAACAAACACTTTTATGAAGTGTAACTTTCGTAATTGACCGTGTGAAAATTTATATTTGTAAACTCTCGATTTAGTTTTATATATGTCTTGTCATTTTTTTTTTGTATAAGCCTTGCTCCTTGTTTGATGAATTTACTCATGCTTGCCAATTTTCAGAGTAAGTTCATATAAAATTAATAATAACGCTAGGTTAAGAACTTTGTTTTTTTTTTAACTTAAAAACAACATGGTTTCGCTTTTTTTTACTGTTGACATCACGTGATATAATATTCAAAACTTGATTGGTTTTCGTATATGGCGATTCGCAAAAAGTCGAAATGAATCCGACTTTTTTTTTCTCTGCAGCGAAACGCTGAAGCGAAAAAATCAGAAAAATTACCAAAATTGTTTAATCTGCGCATGCTTATCGACGAAAAAATTCGCTTCACGCGAATATTTCGTCTTGTGGAAAATGGCCTTAATTTTTATCATCATCTGAGAGCTCTAAATATAGCAAAAGTGCACCTATAGCAAAATCAAAATGATTTAATTTAGAAGGTGGAGGGGCTATAATTCATTACTTTGAACACACACTTCGAACTTTTTAACTCCGTCCCCCTTCCTATCCTACTTTAACCTCTGTGTGTATGTATATATATATATATATATATATATATATATATATATATATATATATATATATATATATATATATATATATATATATATATTTAATTTATAATTGTATTATAATTTTGAATTTGTTTACAGTCGGTTGTTAAAGTTATTTCAGTTGCTTTAAAATGCTATTATAATATTAATAATATTCAAAATAATCTTATAATACTAATAACAAAAGTATGGAATAAGACGCATGTGTTAAATAGAAATTTAAAATTGTTTTTAAACTTTCAAAAAACCTCCTAATTTTTATACTTTTATTTTAATGCTTTATAAACTACGCTTGATTACTTTTATTTGCAAAAACTAGTTTTAGAAAATTCAATTATTCTTATGTATATATTTTTTTTCTATAACATTTTTTATTACAGGTACAAAATAATTTAACAAATTTATAATTAAAATTTTATAGATGATTTGGGTCGAAAGTTTGCCAGAAATTTCATATATTGTTTTTATTATATCATATATATTTATATTAGAAAAAATTATTTTGAATTTCTTAGTGTGATAAAGGTAATACAGATTCAATGCCAATAACAACTCCAATATCGTTAACAACGCCTTTTTTAACAACACCAGCTTCCTTGCCACCTCAAACAACTACAACACTACCTCCAATTACATCATCAGCATTAATTACGACAAAAAAGCCTAAAAAGGCGCCTGTAAGGCCGATAACGCCATCATTGTTACCTACAACAGTACCAACATCTACTTCATCACCTGTGTCACCTCTAATACCTACAACGTTACAACCATTAACCACACCACCAACATTACCTTCAACAAAAATCCCTATACAAACGTCTAAACAACCATCACCATCGTTACCAAGTACATTGTCAACACGAACAACAAAAAAATCATTTACCGATGGAGATTTAGAGCCTACATCAGCTATTACGCTTCCGCCTTCAAAAACTCCTTCTAGAGTAAAGATTGCGACTGAGAGACCTTGCAAACAAAAATGTAAGTTTTTTTTAATTTTATATACTTAAAAAAGATCCAACGGTGTAAAAGATAGCTCTTTTTATTTTTTTATTTTTTTATTTTTTTTTGCATTTACGTCCAATAATTTATTTATTATTGTTTTTAAAGTAATTTTTATTTTTTTAAGATTATCCTTGTTGGCCCTTTGATTTTTCAATATCTCTGAAAGTTAGTCAACCATGCTGTTCGGGCTTAAACATCCCTCAAAATTGCAAATGTCACTGTTTATTGCTAAACTCACAACAAGCTGGAAAAAAAACTGAAGATAATTTCCTTTGTTATAAAAAAAGCTTGAAAAATCCTGGTTTTATTTTATCTGAAAGTAAGTTGTTTTTTATAGATTTTATTGAGTATATATATATTTAAAATTTTTATATAAGCATAACAAAAATAATTGGTTCTACAAACGTATTAAATACTTAAGTATATTTTGTAATTTTTGATTAGATAAACATCCCTTGAAAAAGTGCATTCGGCTTCCTACTGTCCTCTCTCCATCAAAAAAGTTCTTGTGTTATTCTCATGAACCCGGATATCGTTTGCGTTGGTCTGACGTCTTTCATAATGAAAACTGTATCCAGTCGACGGGGGAACATTTAAATCACGCAACAGTTTTATGCAACGATTTTTAAAGTCTTTTGCTATTTTGAATTTGCAGTTTGGTATGCAAAATTTTACCCGTTATCTCGTTTAAATGATCAATTTATCGTAGGCTGATACGGGAATAAAATTGTAAACCTAAGGAAGAGCAGTGATGAGGAGAGTAAAGAACACTTACAATATGAATATGATTGCATATTTTTTTTAAATATATATTTTTTAATTTCTTTTGTGTTCCATGTAAATATATTTAAAATGCTTGATAGCTTAGACGAAAAAAGCTGAGGGGGAGTAAAACAGTCGAGGAGTCTACTTATTGAAATTTGTTGTCACAACATTCTCTCTCAAAAAAAAATTCAGCAGATTATAACACAAAGTTATTACCATGAGTATAACTCAAATTATTATAGCAGCCTTGGCGCAGTGCTTAGAGCACTTTCTTTAAAAACAAGAGATTCAATGTGAGCTCTGGACATTTTTGTGGCTAGACCTTAAGGTCTACTTAGGGCATCTGAAACAAAAACATAAATTATCACAGCTGTGACAAATGAAATTTGATAAAAAACAATATCAATAACATGATAATTTAACGTAAAAATTCTTTTAAACTGTTGGATAATATAGTGAATTTGAAATCATAAAAGTTTTAATAAATTCAAACCATATTTACACAGTAAGCAAACTAAATTAAAATAGTTATGGAGGATAAAACATCAAGCTAAAATTAAATGAATAGAAAAAATAAATATAGTAAAAAGTAGGTGTTTAAATTAATCCTACCTGTATAACCCTATTAATTTGGACTAACCAAAGTAAAAGTAGATTATATTAAAAAGTTAATACTTGTAAATAAGTATAAAAAATAAAATAAAAAACTTATATAAAATATGAAACCGGGAATTTGTTCATATTATTTGCAGTGCGGCCGAGAGGAGGGGGGTCGCAAAGGACAATTTGTCCCGGGCGGCAGATATCCAAGGAGTGCCAAATGAAATCTAGGTACCTAAAAAAAAAAGGTCCTTCATATATAGTATAGGGAAAATTTGGCAAAAAGGGCGCCAATTAGGATTGCTGTCCCAGGCGGCGTGACAGCTCTCGGCGGCCCTGATTATTTGTCTATGTTATATATAATTGTATTATAATTACTTTATAATTGTATAATATTAAAAAACTGCTACTGAGTTAGTTACTACTATATAACTATATGTATACTACTACTTGGTTGTAAATTGAATGTAACTTCTACTACTGCTACTACTATTACTGGTTGTAAATTGAATGTAACCTCTACTACTGCTACTACTACTACTTGGTTGTAAATTGAATGTAACTTCTACTACTGCTACTACTATTACTGGTTGTAAATTGAATGTAACCTCTACTACTGCTACTACTATTACTGGTTGTAAATTGAATGTAACCTCTACTACTGCTACTACTATTACTGGTTGTAAATTGAATGTAACCTCTACTACTGCTACTACTACTACTTGGTTGTAAATTGAATGTAACTTCTACTACTGCTACTGCTGATTGTAAATTGTTTATTATTAGAATTATATAAAAAAACTAAAAGGTTTTAATCTTTTAATTTTTGCAAACTTTTTTCAAAAATGTAAAAAATTTTTGCAATCAAGAAAAATCATTCATTCAGCACATTTTTGCAATATTTTTATTTGCCTCACAATTTTAAAAATGCAAAATACTGCGTAATCATGCTGTGAATGTTTTAATTAAATTACCTTTACATAAAAAAATAATTTCGATTAAACAGAAAATATTGTAAATACAATAATATATGCTGTAAAAATTAAAGTAAAAAACTGTAAATGTAATGAAATTTTTTTTAATTAACAATTTTTTAAATAACAAGAAAATGAAATTGAAATAAAAACTTTTAACTTTATTTCAAAGATATATTGGTTATAATAGATAAAATTTAATCATCAATGAACCAGTTTTTATTATTCTGTTATTGAAACCAACTTTTTTTTTATTGTTAGTAATTTATTTGTGAAAAAAAATTAAATTACAAGTCAATTGTATTAAAATAAAAAAGTGAAATAGTGCTGATGTAAAATAAAACACACACACACAAAAAAAAACAAATACTAAAAAAAAAAATATTTAAAAAAAAATAAAACTGCAATTTTTGTAGAAAATGCAATTCCAAAACATTAATTTAAAAACATCTTTACAATCTTTACAATCTAGTCTTTACAATCAAATCATTATTCCGCAATAATTTTCAATAATGTTTTACGGAACCTGAAGAACTTATCTGAATTTTTTTACATTATGTTATTAGACAACAGTTTACGCCTTTTATTTATTTATTTACTTATTTTGCTTCTTTTAAAATTGCTTTATATACTCCGAATTTTGTCTTATAGTACTTAAATATTTTGGTTATTTTTTACTCAATAAAGTTTTTATAATTAAACGAATTCAAAAACATTTTTATTTTTATTTTTCGTATAACAGTATTGTTTTGATAGTCTTTATTATATGCTTATAGTAATATTGCTTTTTACAGCACAGGATGGCTGTGCTGCAAAAAGCAAAAAATAGATGTTTTAGCTTAGTTGGAACATCTATCAGGTTTACATTTTCTCAGATTTTTTACAATACAAAATTTTAACACTTCAGCAAAATATTAAAAAAAAACAACTTATTTATAGACCTTTATGATTCCAAGTAGTTTTTCAAAGACTTTTATAAAGTCGAAAAATCTAAGAAACTATTTTGGGAAATTTTTTGATTATTGGCAAATATTTTACTTCTCACGTAAATAAGATTAAAGTACTGGATACAAGTCTGCGAGTCTAATCCACCTGTTAAACAAACCATTATTTACACGGTCACAAACAAACAAATTGTTGTTTTGCTTGACTAATTTAAAACGATTTGTTAACAAATAAGCAAGCATTTTACATTTATTTTTTAAAAAAATTATTTATTCTTTTATGCCAATATAATAGTAATCGACATCAGAAAATGGATGGAAACCATTAAACAAAATATTGATCAAAATGAAAGTTTTATACTTTTTTTCATTTAGAGGTTAGTTTTAAATTTTTATTATTATCTTTCTACGCGTGTATTCCCATCAACTTGAATAGAAAAAATAAACATTTAGTTTGTTCATTTTATGCAACTCACATCCAAAAAAATATTTTTTAGTTTAAATCATTATTATATATGTATATAACAAATTATTAATGTTATGGGCAGGGCTGACGATACGGGTTTCGAAGTGTGTGTGTGTGTGGGGGGGGGGGCACATACGTCAGTTTTTAAAAAAAGTCTTCTATATCTAAAATAATCTTTAAAGAAAAAAGAAAAAAATGGTTCTTTAGAAAAAAAGGGTCGTCGGTTCTGGTAATATCTACATTTAAGGAAGTTTCTAAAGGTTTTTGGAGCTTAAATTAAACTTACATGTCTCTAACAGCAAGATCTTCACTCTTTAATTTCAATTTTCACAAAACTCACAGTTTTGTGAATTTTTGAAAACACGTAAAGAGTAATTTGTTAAGCGTAACCCTATAATTTAGCAAATCAGTTACGCCCTGACTCAGCGAATTATAGTTGTTTATAACAATTAATTAAAAATAAGGTCAATTATAAACAAAGCAATTGCTAGAGAAAAAAAAATTGTTTAACTTAAAAATATTTTGTATTGAAAAATAAGTTACTGCTTTATAACTACTTTGTAAATGTTAGTTCCAACCTTCAAAAGTAGATACAGTGTTGGTTCTAACCTTCAAAAATAGATACAATGATGGTTCCAACCTTCAAAAGTAGCTACAGTGTTGATTCCAACCTTCAAAATTAAAAAAAATCAATTTGAAACTTTAACAAATTTTATTAAGAATAGTGTGTATAAACTATATACCGTACTCAGATATATACCGTATTGAAATATATACTGTATTCAGATATACCGTATTCAGGTATTCAAAAAAAAATTTTTTTTTGCAAGCTTGTCAATTTAAAAAAAAAATATGTTTTTACTTGAGTTTGTAAAATTTTTAAATAATTTAGTTGCCTGAGACTTGGACTAAGAACTATCAATAATCTAGGAAATATTTTCAATTTTAAGTTAAAATTAGAGATAAAGTATAATAATATCTTAAAACTAGGAGGGTCAAAAGCTGTATATATAAGTTTTATATTTTTTCATCATTCTCAATCAGTTGTGATCCCCTTGCATTTATTGTTCTATCAGCGTTGGCTTTTAGTTTTGTTTGTTTGCAAAAACATTACATAAAATACTTACCAAGTATGAGCAAACATAAAAGTTTTTAAAAAAGTTCAAAATCTTTTTTATTTGAGTTGTTATCATTCAATAGTGCTTGTTAAAAGTATTACAAAACTTAAAATTTTATCAAAATTATATAACGCTACAAAAAGTTATTAGTTTTATAGTGACTTTATTTTATTACAAGGATAAATGTGTAAATTAAACCACTTTAACTTTTTAATTCTCAACAAAATGCTTACAAAAATTAGTGTTAAAAAAAAAGTCGAACAATAAAGAGAACAATAAATACATATAAAAAAACTTTTTTAAGTCATAAGATAAGTCATCTGATAATGATCAGGATGAGAAATATATGACACTTAAACAATAACAAAATATACCTCAAACAAAATCATAATTAAAAGTATAACTTGTGCATTTTGAAAGATGTTGTGAGAATCAGGGGCGCCAAAAACATATTTTAGTCTTTAAGACAGCTAACTTCCAGACATGGAGCAAACTCCAAACATTTATATGTTTATATTTATGTCAAATAAGGATGCTTTGCAAAAAATTGCGATGATTGGAGCTTAGGAAAGCCCAAAAAGTTTGTTCCCCCCTGCCCCAAACGTGAGAGCAACAAGTTGATGAAATATTTTTTTACTATTTCATAGTAAAATATTTCAGCGTTCAAAAGTAATGAGCATATAAAGTTTAAACCCCCCTCAATTTGAAGGGGTTGCAAATTTTACATTGTCATAATTTTTGAACGCTGAGAGATAATACTATGAAACTTATAATTTATCGATGAATATAAGTTTAGTTGAAAATAGGAAAAATTATAATATTTCATCAACTTGTTGCTCTCTCATTTGGGGCAGGGGGAACAAATTTTGGGGCTCTTTAGTTCTTTTTTTTGCTCCTAAACTCCAATCATCGCATTTTTTTTGCAAGGCATCCTTATTAGACATAAGAATAAACATATAAATGTTTTGAATTTGCTCCATGTCTGGAAGTTAGATATCTCAAAGACCAAAAAATGCTTTTGGCGCCCCTGGAGACACTCAATAATAATTACTACATTCTACTAACGTCACCGAAAAAATCTGACTACTCAATTACAGGTACCATACCGGGTACCATTCATATGGATTTTTGACAAAGTTATGAAAATATAAAATCAATTGATATATTTAATATTAAAAGAAATATAAAAAACACTTTTTAAATTTAAGCAATACATTCCTTCTTTCATTTTTTTTAAAAAAAAATTTTTTTATATTTATATTTAAAGATTTTTTATGATTTATTTTTCTTGCTGTTTTTGGTTGTTTGTTTTAATTCTGTTAAAAAAAAAGATTAAAAAAAAAAAAATTAATTTTAAACAATATAAATCTGAAGATACAATATGTGCGTTTTTAGATTTACTTGAAAATTTTAACATTATAACATTAAAAAATTAGAAAGTTGTCTTTTAAGTTTCATTAGTATCACTCCAGAACTTAGGGAGCTGTCCGGGGCCGTTCATAAATTAAGTTGCGAAAAATTTTAACTTTTGACTAGGCGAAGAAAATAATTGGTGCTCGTGCGCCAATTATTTTCTGATTTTTTGGGTCTGTTTTTTTCTTCTCCCAAACTTTCATTTTCCAAAACCAGTTCCAAACACTCCTATCTCCTTTGATCCTCATCATGCAAAAGTATATTTGTTGAATACAGTTGAACAATAATATATGGCAAAAACTCTATAAAGCATCAATGCACCAATGAGTGAAACAATCTCCCCCTCTCCATAAAAATTGAAAACCCAAATTCAAGATCTGCTTTTTTAAGTAAAATTAAACGAATCTATCTTGACAGCTATGTATATATAAAAAAGTGTATTGTTACTATACTCAATGTTTATACCATGTTACCATATTCAATGTATATACTAGATTTAATTATTATTCAATCTATTAATAGATTTAATAATTTCTCTACTTAGTATTTATTATTATATTTATTGGTATTTATATTAAATATTTAGTTAGTATTTTTTATTCATCTTTTTATTTTCAACTCTAACTCAATAATTTTTCTCTCTACTCGATAATACTTTTTCTTCTACCATTATTCATAGTATTAACCTTTACTATTTAATATTTCATTATTATTTTTTTATCAGTTATTATTATTTTTATTATTTATTGTCAGTATTATTACGGTACTTCTATTTATTAGTTTTAGTATTATTATTAGGATTATTATTATATATAAATGACTTTAATTTTTGTTTAATTGTTGTCAGCCCTTAATAATAGTAGTATTTTATTGATTGCTTGTTTAGTTTTGCTTTGCTTTTGTTCGTTTTTTTTTTTTACAAGGTCTCTGCTTTGAATTAGTCTTGTATTATTTGCATTGTCCCTTCACCAAAATATTTTTGTAATATATATACTATATTTGTAAACGGTATTTATTTTTGTGGAAAATGTATTGATTGGTTGATTTTTGCCGCGGCAAATACAAATATTACAATTGTACGCGCGTTATTTACGTCTCGTGTGTTACTGTTTACAAGTTATGAGTTTTTACACACTTTTGTTATTTCTAATATAAGTAAAATTAGTATACAATATAAAAATTATGCTGCATAAGTTTTTGCAAATATAAAACGTGTTTGCAATAATATATAGGAGTGGCATATTTTGTTCCCCCTGCCTCTATATAACCTTTAAAAATGTTAAAAAAAATTAAAAATGTTTTGAAATAAATTTTTAATTATCAATTTACCATATAAATTATATGGTAAATAATCTGACAAAGAATCAAGCATTTAGAAACTTAAGTCTTGTGCATAAATGTTTTTTGTGTTAGGTAGTAAACGCCTTACCAATAAAAAAATAATCTGCCATATTCTAATATGGCAGATGTTAGATTATTCACATGTTATAATTAGTTGGTAATAAATGTTATAAAAAGTTGGTAACATTAGTAGTTTTATATTAATTATTGTCAAAATATCCTTTTTACTATCCAACCTTCAATCAAATATGATATATTGTACCTACATTATTTTTTTCTACCATTAAGTTTCAATATGAAGTGCTTTGTTTTTCATATATTTGGCAGATCACAATACAATAAATCTAACATTTGTTCTTCCTAAGTATTTGGCAGATCACTTATAAGAATTCAGTTTTTTTTATAATCCAACATAATTCCTATATACCTTACTGATTTTGAGATATTATCATTCCATTAATATAAAAGTTCAATTGCTTCTTAATTTTTCGATAAAACCAAAAAGAAAAATCAGTTGTTACTGATTTGCTTTTTTAGTTTTATTTTAAATGTTGTCAAAAGAGTATTCAAATATCTGTTAAGTTATAAGCAGACACATCATAGTTGTTTATTAGTTTCAATATGCATTTTAAATTGTTCAAGTTTGATTTAAAGAAAGTTTTATATGTTTTTTACTTTTGTTTTTAAATGAATAAAAGTAAGAAAAGCAAGGGTTTTAAAACATGTGATTTTTCTGAATGATAAGGTTGACTTTCGGTTATAGAAATAGGTTGTATTTGTAAAAAAGAACCTATAAAACTAGCCTATATATGACATTAGTATTCCATGCAAATACAAATAAGAGATTTTGAGAGGAATCAGGAGTAAGAATATGGAAAGCATGATAAAGAGAGGCATCTTTAGTAGATGCTAAATTTATCCTTAATCCTTAGTAGATGCGAACTTTATCCTTAATCCTTAGTAGATGCTAACTTTATAATGGATTGTATATATGGTTTTCATAAGAGGTCATTCTTAAAATTTAATGAAAGAAAATATATAGTAAAGGGCTCATTCATCAATATAGGAATATTAACAGTATTGTAATAGTTGTTAGCAGTAAATAATTGAGTTTAGGGTTAAATTTCATTAGCCAGTTCAAGATTTAAGTTATCACAGAAAAGAGATCAAGTTCAAGATTTTGCCTGTTTTAAGTAATCAAAAAGTGATGACTTTTTGTTGAGACTGAAGTCTATATTGAGTCTTTAGTAAGTAGGGCTGCTTTAGATGTTAGATTGTCATGATGATCACTAATATAGATAAGGAATAAGGGCTATGGTAATTCTTCAATATTTTACAGCTGTTAATAGAACCAGCTCCTCTGAGAAGCTGTTATAGACTTTAAGAATAAATATCAGTAATTGATTTTTTACTTTTTTACTTTTTAATTACTAAAAAAGAAATATTACCAAAATAATAATAATAATATTGTTCCATATTTATCTCATTATCTCCAACATATTTAATTTTTAAGAAATCCATTGTTTAAAGATTCAACTGATTTGGAGCAGTGTGCTTTCAAGTTGATTGTCTTGGAAGAGAGCCACTAAATGTCGTAGCTATATACTTCAAATTTTAAACATGTCTCTTTAATAACACCTTGCCAGATTGTATGAGCCATGACGAGATTGAGTGTTCTGTAGCAGATTGTTTTAGATATGTGAGTAGTCAATCAAGAAGAAGGAAGGGGGGGGGGCAATTCATTAGTATTGTCGGATAAAAAGCAAATGGAATGATGGGCATCAGGAAATACAACTTCCCAATACTTTAAATTAAGATTTCATGATTTCAAAGCTAGTTTGATTGTTTTCCTGAGGGTTATATGAAGTTGTTTTACTGGTAGCTATACCCTTTTTACGAAGGAAATCTTGTACATTATTTCTCCCAATAGATGATCCTCTCTCAAAATGGATGTAAACAGGCATACCAAAAATGGTGAAGAATTGGGAAAAGCAATCAGTAGTAGTAGTTGAGTCTATGTTGGCGCAGGAAAATACAATTTATTTATATATATTAAGTATATAATTAATTCTTGAATAATTAATAAGTGAATAATTTAAATAATATTAAAAAATACTATTAAATAATAATATTATATTTAAGAAATTCAGTTGAATCAAAATTGATCAAAATTTAAATTGCTATTTTAATATGCAAGGACCACCTACTTTTCTTTTTACCTTTATTTGCTGCCATTTTATCTCAGAAAAAGTGGTCCTTCTCCTGATTCTAACCCTGATCTATTTCAGATAGGTTAAATTTAAGGTCTTTAGGTAACTTTATACCTGTTTAACTTTACATCTGATCCAATATTCTTAAAGTAACTTTTTATCTGATGCAGTTTTATTAGTTAGTCTCTTTTACAGAAGAATTTGTGTTAGATGTCTTCTAGTTTATCTGCTAGGCTACATGTCTATCCATTAGGTTAGAGGACATCAGTGTATAAAAACTCTAAAAAAAACTTATTATTGCATTTGTGAGTTTATTGATAATATCAATAATTGTTTTTTTTTTTAAAGTAATATATGTATATGCATATATATAAACATATATTACTTTTTAAAGTAATATATGTATGTATATATATATACATATATATATATATATATATATATATATATATATATATATATATATATATATATATATATATATATATATATATATATATATATATATATATATATATATATATGTATATATATATATTTAGCAATTTTTGTATTCTTGATTGGAGTCTGGAAAACAGAGACAAGTCCTTTACTTTCAGAACTATTTTCACACCAGATCAAGATTAAAGGCCATGATGGTAAGCTATAAAAATAATACTATTTTATCTTATATTATTGGTATTGCTATATATTTATTTAGGTAACAAATAATAGGTTATGAATATGAATAAGTACTGGTTCATTTATTATTTTTTATTTTTGTTGACATTTATTTTCAAATTGTGACAGGTTAAATTAATAAGATAGTGTTATCTTAAACATGCAATGCTTCTATATATATTTGTCATTAATTAACATATCTTAAGTAGTGTAGCATCATTGCATTTTTTAATATGTTTTTTGAGTTTGAAAGAATCTGCAAACTTTTTTTTAAATACCTCTTTCTTAAAGTTACCTTATGAGTATTGTATCTGTTATCATAGCATATTCTGTTAATATCTGTTATCATAGCTTTATATTCTGTTTTTAATTTATTAAAGCATACTTTTTTATTTTGTTTTTCCTCTTTTAATAGAGGAAAAGCTGTATTTTTTTATTTTTTATTTTATTTTAATTCACCTCCTCAAGGCCGAGAAGGCCACTACAGACGAGGAGGCTACTTATTTGTGGTTATAACCCTCTCTCAACTCTATAACTCCGAAACACGAACCTTGACGAGCAAGGCCACTGCGCGGAGAAACGAGTTGAGCGCGGTACTACCAGGGACGTGGTGGGGATCGAACACGGAACCACTCGTTTATGAAGCGAGCGCTCTACCACTACACCACTACTGCATTTTTCATCAAAATAATTTCAAGTAATTTCAGTTTCTTTTACTGTTTATGACATGCTGTAATTTTTAACCACCTTTGATTTTGAACTGCCAAAATTTCTTTATTTTTAAATATTATTATCAGTTAAAAAAAAAAGAGTATAAAGTTCCATGCATCCCAGGATTTTAACTTAAGATACAACACTATGGCTCATAAAAATTAACCAATCTCTTTTATATCATATATTGACAAGTATATCAATATCCATTTATATGTGAAATATACAAAATATATGTGTTCTATATACTTCATTAAAGTAGGAAACAACTTTTTTTTTAACTGTTTCGGAAAATATATAACAATAAAATTTAAGGTAAAGTAGCCCAGGCACATTGATCTGCTTCAATGCCTGTTTATTTTGTGCTAAATTTTGCTTACCATTTACAAAAGCTGAACTAATTTTGGTGCAATGTAACACTGTTGTCAAACACAATTAAGTGTCAGTTAATTTTTAACTTATACATTTATAGATTATATATACAAAAGGATTAATAATTTCTAATTTAATAAATGTAACTAATTATGAATGCTTATTTTTGGTAATAATTTAAATATATTTTTTTATCAGGACCATTTGTAGCCAAAACAAATGAAGAGTTAACTAAAGAATGTGAAGCAGAAGAAAAAAGTAAGTTCATTGAAACTAATTTTTTTTTCATTGAAACTAAAGTTTTTATTTTTTATTTTTGCTTTATTTAAAGCCTTAAATTTATGCCTTAAAGTAATTGAAGTATAGAAAAATTTAGAAACATAAAATAAGAAATATAAAATATCTGTAAATTATTTTTAAACTAGTTATAACTAACTTAGATAATGGTAGCATGGTAGCCATGGTAGCTTGCAAACACTTGGAGATAAATTAGTTTAAAAAAATTTAGTTAACTTAAGTTTTATTTTTTTTAGCACAAGATTTAAAAACCTTGGGTGTCATTGAAGAAGGAGATATAGAAGTGACAGAGTTATTTGATCAACTCAGAAGTGGAAAAAAATCAGATTTTTGGACACTTAAAGAGTACCATTGGGAAAATAATACAGTCCCATATACTATCTCATCATCAACAAGTAAGTAATTTTTAATGCCCAATTTCAACAATATTTAGGCTTCTTGTTCAAAATTTCAAAATTTTCAAAATTTTTAATCATGATTTTCAAACCTTTATTAAAATGTTTGATTTCATAGAAGAAATTAATAATTTTTTGTTTTGTTTAATTAAATTTGAATGAGTAAAAGTGGTGTAAAATCTTCAGACTGTAAATTTTTTAAAATTTTATTTTTCATTAGACATTAAATTTTAATTTTCTTGTTTGTACTTTTAGTACTTTTTTTTTAGGTTTAAAAAAACATGAAAATCCAGCATGCGAAGGTATTATTGATATTGGCTTTATATTGGATTCATCAAATAGCTTAGAAAACGACTATAGGCATGAGAAAGAATTTATAAAGAAACTTGCTAGCAAATTTGGGGTTAGTCACAATGGCTCCCATGTTTCTCTTGTTGCTTTTAGCCAGATTGCAACTATTAATATCAAGCTTAATGATTTTTTTGAAATTTCTGCTTTTAACACAGCAGTTGACCGAGTACCACATATAAATGGTGATTCAAGAATTGGTTTAGGTTTGCGGACTGCATTAGAAATTTTTGAGGAAAGAAATGGAGCAAGAAATAATATACCTAAACTTTTATTTGTGCTAATAAACACTGAACAAATTAAAAATGATGAAATTGAAAATCCTTTAATTGTTGCCAATGAAATCAGAAACAAAGGAATTGATATAATCGCTATAGGAATTGGAAAACCTACCTATCATGAAAAGCTGATGAGTATTGCTGGTAGTAAAGGAAATTTGTTTTTGGCAAAGGAGTTTAAGGACTTAGTTGTTAATGATTTTGTAAATAAAGTAAAAGCTGGCAGTTGTTTTTCAGGTAAAATAAAATTGTTTTAAAATTCATTTTAAAATAAAAAATGTCCCATTAATCTCATTTGGTCTTTCTTCAATATCCCCTTGGTCGGCTTTAATATTTCTTTGCAATTAGTAATATTAAAATCAAAAACACTTGAAAACTTCACAAAAAAAGGCTTATGAAAACTTCAGAAACTTTTAAAATATTTTATTTCTCAGATTGTAACTAATGGTCCTAAATATATATATTTTATATATTATATATATATATATATTTTTTTTGAACTTTAGGGGACATCAGAAAGGAAACACAGTTGCAAAAAGATAATTTAATTGCTACTTTACCAACTGTTGAAAAAGAATTTAAAATATCTTTTGAAATGAAAACAACTTCTTATTCTGCTGGGTATCACAGTGTTTTTAAACTGGATTTGGGCAACGGCTTGTTTATTGCTATTTATTTTACTGAAGAAGGTCATGGAACTCTTGCTGTTGCATCCTTTATAAGTAGTTCAGTAAGTGAAGAAATAAAATCAGAAAATAAAATTACTTTAAACCGTTGGGTTGCAGTTAAAATATCTCAACAATTGTATAGTGGTATATACATTTATGCTGTTGAAGTTGCAGGGAAAACACTGCTTTCAAAAGTGAATTCAAATGTTCAAGATTTTAATTCAGTGAGTGTGTACGCATCTGATCCAGATAATCTGGCACAAGCTGGCTCAATTCGCAATCTCAAAATTAAAAATGGAAATGAAGGTTTGTCTTTTTATATGTAAAATTTTTTAGTGTTAATGCCAAGTTTTTTATTATCTTATTAAATTTTTAATTGCTTATTCTTGAATTTATTTCAAGGATTTCTTGTAAAACAACAGAGCCCATTAAAAAAAGGTGCTCTAATTGCAACTTTGCCAAAACTTGAAAAAGAATATGTTTTGTCCTTGGATATTCAACCTGAAGATTTTCCTGATATCTACCATAATATTATTCAGTTAGCATCTGGTAATGACAACTTTGGAGTCAGTAATAATAACCCTGCAATATGGCTTCACAAAGGGGCCAACGGAAAGCTCAATTTAGCTGCTTTAGTCAATTCAAAGCATGTAATTTTTCATAAAGTGTCACTTGATTTGAATTTTTGGAGCAAAATAACATTATCTCAACAGTTAATTGCAGGGTCATACATCTACTCTATTACTGTGAATGATACAGAAGTTTATTCTGAAAAAAAAGATTTTCCTGTTGAGCTGGACATAGTAAAAGTGTACGCTGGTTCTCCTGATGATGTTACCCAACAAGGTTTAATAAGAAATTTTTATGCTTCAAATGGAAATAAAGGTTAGAAATTTTATTAAAGATTTTGATTATATCCATTTCATTTACATAACATAGTTTTAATTTTAAAAAATATTTAAAATATTATCTATTATATTCTCTATATACTCTCTAAAATATTCTCTATTATTTTAGCTGAAAAATCACCAGATAAAACATGTGAACAGATAAGTGATATTCTAGTGCTTATTGATTCTTTTGCAAATAAACAAGAGGATGCCAACACAGAGAAAACATTTTTAAAAAAATTTGCCCATACATTTGAAGTGACAAATGATGGCTCACATTTGGGATTGATTTCTTTTAATTCTGATGTTAAAATGAACTTAAAAACAACTGATAACCAAGTTGCTAGTAATATTGATAAATCAATAGATAGCATAAAGTTTGTTAATAAGCAGCTTGATTTGCAGGGCTCTGGTCTCATTAGTGCTCTTCATTTAGCACATGAGGAGTTTTTTTCTCAGCCAGATAAAGATAAAGATCGTATAGATGATGTTCCTAAAGTTCTTGTGTTAATATCAACTGAAGAGCAGGAGGAAGATAATGAACTGTGCGAGAAATATAAAGCATTACTTCATTCTATGGATTCTATGAATCCATGTAAAAATCACAAATTAAAAAACACTCTTAACGAAATACAAGGAGTAGACAAATACCATACCCAAGGTGAAAACTTCAAATTAGGTTATGGAGGCAGAAGAACAATTCATGAAACAAAATCAAATATACATGAAAAACTATTTGGCAACAAAATATTCGGAGCAAAGAAAAATAAAATTGAAAATCGATATCGAAAAGATAGATTTCAGAGATCTGGTATCAGTGAAAGAAGAAATTGGAAGAAATTTTTAATTGGAAAAATGAAGAAAAATAACAATAAAGATAATATAGACTATATAAAAAAATATTGGGCAGATAAAGAGAATAGTCAAGTAGGTGTTAAGCGGGGTTATGAGCAAGTGGGTGTTAAGCAGGGAAATGGGCAATTGGCTAATAAACATGGATACAGACAAGTGGGTGTTCAGCCAGAATATGGACAGGCTTTTAAAAAAGCATTAATGCAAGGCATTAATAATATTAAATTAGGCAATAAAATAATAGATCCAAAATTAAATATTCAATCAGTAAATAAACCAGGAACAGCATCGACATCACCTGGCTTACTTACTCAAAATATAAAGCCACAATCAACAGAGAACAATAGAGAACAGCAAAATGGTAATGATGTTATTCCTCCGTTAGGCCATCAAGTTGGTAAACCTCAATTGTATGATGAAACTGAAAACATTTTATCACTGAACAAATTGTCTGGAAATAAAGTTAACATTTATAATACTAATGAAATAAGTAAAACAAAGTTTACAGGTAGTTATGGGAACCAAGAATCAAACAATAAACCAATTATAAATCAATTAGGTAATATATTTGGAAATTTTGAATCAATTAAAGATATTGGAAAACTCCATGAGAGCAATAATTTAGCTGCTCCTCATTTAGGTTACAATACTCAAAGACCAGAAATCAATGAAAATTTTCATTTAAGCAATAATGCTTTTAGACCTCACCTTGCTTATCAAAATGAAAGTCCAGAATCATTTAACAGTGGAATAATGCATACAGGTAATAAAATAGTTACACCTAAATTAGGTAACAAATTTGGTCTAACTATGTCAGACAAACCACATAATGATTCAAATAAGTTAGCATCACTAGCTTTAAAAATGCGAAACAAAGGAGTTATTATTGTTGCGATTGGAATAGGGCCAAATGTAGACCAGAAAAAACTGACTGATATAGCTGGCAGTTCAGACAAAGTACTGTTGGCAGAAAAAATGCAAGATTTATTGGAAAAAGATTTTCTTGCTAAAGTAAAGAAAGCAAGCTGTAGTGAAGGTTTGTTTTTTATAATTTATTCTATAAACAAAGAAAATTTAATATTTGCGTTTCAATCACAATTTTTTCAAACTTTTATTTGTTAAAAGTCTTTTTGACATTTGACAAATAAATCTAGAAATTTTTTTCTTTTGATAATACAAAAAATATTTTTTTAGTTTTTGATGGTTTTATTGTTCATAAAAATTTTAGATTTGATATATTTTTATATTTAATATTCGACTTTTTTTATTGTTTATAAAATCAATAAAACTGATTTAAATATTAAGAGGAAAAGATATGATTCGAAACAATCATAAAAAACAAAATAAAAAAGTCTATTAGATTCATAAATATTCATTAATATTCTGGTAATGACGGTAGCCCACTAAAATTTTTTTAGATGCCAGAACGGAAAGACTATTAGATAATGGCAAGTTGTTAACAGTCTTACGCAAGATCAGTAAAGAATATTCAATTGTTTTTGAATTAAAACCAATAAACTTTACTTCTGGATTGCAAAGTGTAATACATTTAGTAGAAGACAATGGCAATGGTTTACCTGGTAAAATTTTCCTTGCAGTTTGGTTCAATGGTAAATCTGGAAATTTAGTTGTTTCATCTGATGTCAGTGGATATAAAGGTTTTCATTTCATTT